AACTTTTCTACTAAAAATAAGTAAAGTAAATCTGCAATGGTTCAATTAAAAAACAAACCCTTTTCTTTTCTAAAACGGAAATATTACTTGAGGCAGGCTTGCTTAGCTAATAGAAGGAAAGATTTCTCATGAATGAATTAAACAAGCCAGGTAACAAACAGGAGATGGAAAATTACCATTCATTATTTAAAAAATATTCTTTATATACAATATTTATATTCTGCTATTTAAAAGCATACTCCAGATTGCAGAAGCTGAAATTTCCATGCAGCATTGTACGTACCAGCGTGTCAAGCCGACCAATGACCTCAAAGGAAAAATCGACACCTCCATCGGTCATTTCCATGATCACCTCATGAATGGGTTTCTCGTAGTCTTGAGGGTTGATGCACTCAGTGGCACCCAACTCTTTGGCCTTTGCAAATTTGCCCTTGTTGACGTCCACGGCGATGATCCTGGCCGCTCCAGCTGCTTTACAGCCCATGACGACAGACAGGCCAACACCTCCGAGGCCAAACACAGCACAGGTAGAGCCCTGGGTGACCTGTGTATTCAGGAAGTGCAAAAATGGACTAAGTAATAGTTGCTGGAATGTGCCTAGGCTTCTTAAAGTGCCAGGCCTTGTCTGCTATCAAGAGCCACTCAGAATCTCCTGTCCAATCTGTTGTCAAAAGCTCTTTTGGCTTTAGTTGTTTCACGTTTACATTGAGGGGGTCGAAATAGGTCAGTGGTTCTCAAGCTTTGCTGCATATTAGACTGATCTGGTGAGCTTTAAAAAAATCCCAATGCCCAGGTCACAGCCCACACCAATTACATCGGAATCTCTGCAGGTGCGACCCAGTTCCCAGGTGACTCCAACGGGATGCCCAGGCTGGGAACCCGGGAGGGGATGATCTTTGAGTTCTAAATGTCAGTGACTGCAACCTTGAAGGGAATGTAAATGGCTGAAAGCCACTGATAGCCAGCTTTAGTATCTCAGACATACACAAAGGCATTTTGTGAAAAATGGCACAAGTAAAAAAGGCTACTTAAGGAGATTGAAAAATTATTCAGTCAAATCCTCAATGATTAACTGCTGGGTTCATTAAGTTTCAGTAGTCATGACCAATAAATCCTGCTTTAAAAAATACACTAATGAACAATAATGCAACAAAAAGTTGGTCTATATTTTAGTAATGAATAAAGTCTTTTATTATGAGTATTCTAAGCTTCTGGTCCATAGTAGGCCCACTGAGATCACCTGTAAAACAGATGAGACAATTGCTCAAAAGAGTAAGCGCTAAATTCACAAAAATTTGGAAAGATGTACTCTAAATTGTTTAAATTGTTGAGGGGCTATTTGATAAATCTAGTATTCTACAGTCAGCCTTCAGTGTGGATAAAATGCTCTTCCTGTCCCCAATAATCCATTGGTACATTCCCTGAAGGGTGTCTATTCACTCATTCATCCACCAAATGTCATTCAGTACTACATGGTACAACAATACTTTCTACTTTACTAAGAAAAATACGAAGCTTGTGATTGTGATTTTTTTTTATATATTTAAAAGTGCTAGCAATTATGCATTGGGATTTAAGATTCATCAGGAGATTTTAGAAAGGTACTCTAGCGTCAGCTCTCATAGTAACCAGCAGTGAGCTTTATGTCTCTGGACATCGGCTTCATAAAATCAAGAATACTACCAGATACACTACTAGATTTTCAGCCATTTGAGAAGAGGAGCCTTTAAAGAATTTCTCCTTGAAACTGACCACTTCTGAGGAGAGTGTGTATGTTCACAATGGGGAAGGAGACGCAGATGAACTCCAACAAGGAGTGAAATAAGTGTGTCACCGAAGCTTTATTACTTCCTGTGAAGAATGCACAGAGTGGGTGACTTTTGGTTTGGAAATGTATCAGGTGAGGCTTTGGAATCTACTGTTGATCCTAAGTGTTGGAGTGGGCGGTCCACGGACTAGACGCTCCTCAAAGGCAAACCCTTCATTTCATTTATCTTTGCTGCCTCAGAACCTGCTCCATCTAAGGCACGTACAGGTACGCTCTGATTGCAGAATAAATGGCTAGATGAATTCCCAACTCTAAAATTTAATAAGCCCAAAAAGGAAAAATATAGAAGAATAATTATTGCAAATGA